CAAGTGGTAGAGCGCTAGCCTTGAGCTGAAGAGCTGAGGGACAGCGCCCAGGCCCCACAACCGACAAAAAAAAAAAGAAAGCATTTAGGGAACAAATGAACCAATAGCTATACAAATAACAGATGGCATACCAAGAATGTAAAAAGGAGGAGATATATCTCAGTGACAGACCACCTGGCTAACAGGTGTCAGGCCTTAGAGTCCATTTTCAGCACCACAAAAAAAAAGGAATTAAAAATTGAAATAAAAAGAGTGGATGTAGTGTCCATCCTGTTTCCAGAGTTGGGAAGAAAAGCATTTTATAAAGATCAAAGATTCGAGAAGTCATGGCTTAGTATAGTCATGCAATAAATTCAGTATTTCCACTACTTACTGCAAGCTTATACTCTAAAAGAAATAAAGTTCCTTTTAGTTTCTTCATATTTTTGGACAGTTTCTGTCTTGAAAATTGTTTATATCACAAAGTTATCTCAAAATTTATTTTAGAGCAAGGTGCCAGTGGCTCAGATCTGCTAACCTAGTTATTCAGAAAGCCGAGATCTGAGGAATAAGATTCAAGTCACCCAGGCAGAAAAACCTGAAAGGTTCCATCTCCAAAACAGCAAAAAACAGGTCTGGAGAAGTGGCTCATTTGATGCAGAGCTAGCCAAGCAAATACTAGGCCCTGAAAGCACATGTAAATACACACCACCCCAAAAAATTATTTAGATGGATATTTTTCATTCTTGTGAAAAAGTGTACTTTTGACATTTATATAAAGGCTACTTCAATTTGTCGTTTTGTGTGTAAAAATTACATACAGACACAGTATCTTTCCACAAAACAAATAATAGAAAACATGACTGAAACTTATTTGAAATATTTTTGGTAGTACTGAAATTTGAACTCAGAATCCTGCATTTGCTAGGAAGGTGCTCTACCACTTGTACCATGCCCCAGTCCTAAAATTTTAAATTAATTGGTTACTTTGTATTTTTCTTGAAAGTGATTAGCTGTTCAAAATATCCTTTAAAATATTCAACAACACAACTAACAGTTGGAGTTTTTTATCTCTCCTTTAAAATAAAAACAGAAACTCTTCTGAGAAGATACAAAATACACTGAGTAAGATTCTGAAGACTTGTACTCTTTTCCCACAACAGTTACTTAGTCTACAATCTGAGCAAATCAGTAACTGCTAAATCTCCATCTATTCATCTATAAAGGGTGTTTGATGTAATCAGTACCCTTCAAACTGGACTATGAAATCTTGAGGATTATGTGCATTTATGAAAAAGAGGAATAGAATATAATGAAAAATTTTTACTTTGTAAAAACAACTTGGGCTAGGAATGTGGCTTAGTGGCAGAGTGCTTGCCTTGTATACATGAAGCCCTGGATTCGATTCCTTAGTACCACATAAACAGAAAAAGCCAGAAGTGGCACTTTGGCTCAAGTGGTAGAGTGCTAGTCTTCAACAAAAAGAAGCTCAGGGACAGTGCCCAGGCCCTGAGTTCAAGCTCCAAAACTGGCTAAAGAAAGAAAGAGAGAAAGAAAGAGAGAGAGAAAAAAAGAAAGAGAGAAAGAGAGTGAGAAAGAAAGAAAAAGAGAGAAAGAGAGAGAGAAAAAAAGAAAAAGAACGAAAGAAGGAAGGAAGGAAGGAAGGAAGGAAAAAAGAAAAACTTAAAATCCAAGCACTATAATCCTAGCTATTCAGAAGGCTGAGACCTGAAGATTGGAGTTCAAAGTCATCCCAGGCAAGCAAGTCTGTGAGTGTCTTATCTCCAATTAACCAGAAAATAGCTGGAAGTAGTGCTGTGGTTCAAGTGACAGAAGGCTAGCCTTGAGCACAAAAGCTCAGGGACAGTGCCCAGGCCCTTAGTTCAACCTCCAGTATCAGCACCAAAAAAAAGAAAGAAAGAAGAATTTAAATGCCACTATACTACATAATTTGTAAGGATCCTTTCTACTATCCAAAACTCTCCTATTCTATTTATTTACCCTAGTAAGACTATTATTAGTCTCTGTCTTAAACAGGAAAAACACAATGCCAACTATATATAAAGATCCTTTTTTAAAAAATGCAATGCAGCCAGGTGCTAGAGGCGCACATCTGTAACCCTACTCAGTAGGTTAAGATCTGAGAATCAGGATTCAACACCAGGCTGTGCAGGAAGTCCATGAAACTTTTCCATTAAACTCAAAAGGCCTGAAATGAAACTGTGGCTCAAGAGATGGAGTGCTAGCCTTGGGCAAAAAAAACTCAGAGACAACACTCAGGCCCTGAGTTCAAACCCCAGGACCAGCACACACACAAAAAAAATGCGTTTCCTTACAAATGGGTCAATGTCATTCTTTCTGATGATGACATATAATTCCATTGTGTATATATACCACATTTTCTTGATCCATTCATCTGCTGAGGGGCACCTGGGTTGGTTCCATATCTTAGCTATGGTAAATAATGTTGTGATAAACATAGTTGTGCTGGTAGCTTTAATATGGCCTTGTTTGTGATCATTTGGGTAAATGCCTAGAAGTAGGATTGCTGGTTCATAGGGGAGCTCTAAATGCAGTCTTTTGAGGAACTTTCATACAGCTTTCCAGAGTAGTTGAACAAGGAAATGTAAAGACTTAGAAAAAATCATATTAAGTGAAGTAAGCCAGACCCAAAGAAACATAGAACCCATGGTTCCCCTTATTTGCAATAATTAGTATATGTCTAGGATAATCTTAGCAGATGAGCAGAATAGCTCAATAGCTATATACATATGACCATATAAGATGATGCTAAACAAAATGAACTCCAAGCACTTTGGACACAAGAGGCTTTTCTTTGTTCTTGTTGTTAATGTACAATGTGATTTTTTTGGTTTCTTTTGTAGGTTCTTCCCTCTATGGTATATCCCTGTTGTCACAGTATTTGATTTTGGTACCCTGGTCTTGTATATGTATTCATTTGAATTAGGGAAAGGAAGGGGAACAACAGAATGTTGAGACAAAGGACAAGGGGGAAACCAATGCAAAAGCAATATTCACAAGACAATATGTTGGAAATGATCTGTACTACTTGGGGGTGAGGAAATGGAGGAGAGGGAAAATGGGAGAAAAATGAAAGAAGGGGTAACATGTCTGACAAGAAATGTACTAATAACCTTACGTAGCTGTAACCCCTCTGTATATAACTTGACAATAATATATATATATATATATATATATATGCAATGGACGTCACCCAATTCTAACACTCATGCTATCTATTTTTAATAGTTGTGGTATTTTGATGCAAAGTAGTCTTCCAGAGATCAAAACAAGGAGTTATCATCCCTTTGAATTAATTAGCAAATTATTCTAATATAATTCTAATATAATTATTAAAAAGACATTGAAGGAGCTAATTTTTAAATACCTGTACTATAAACTGTAACTCTCTTCTTTCTGCTTCCCATTGTTCAGCTTGTAATCTAAACTCCTCCACTGCTGTCTCCCTGATTTGAGACTCCATATCATTCTTCTCTTGCTGATGTGTTTCCAATGCTTCCTTCATATGAACAAAATCTTGCTTTACTTTTACATCAAGAAAGGCTATCTTCCATCCTTCAACCCAAGTTAAAAGTACATAGTCCTATCCTTTTTTAAAAACTTGAGAATTCAACTTCTGTATGCATATTGTAAAAAGATAAGAACCTATAGCCTTTTTGGTCACATTAAAATCTTAATAAAACTATTGTTTTGATAATAATGATGGTTTGACCATTCAGAACCTATATCCATATGTGACTCAATTTTCTGAAAAACTTAACTTCAGATGTTAGCACAAAATAACATGAGATGGTAGAGAGAGACAGAAAGTAGATGCCAGAAAATATAGAAATCTCTAAACCTGAACAAATAGATTATCTCTGATAATTTATACAAATTTTATAGAAAACAATGCATTCCAAATGGGAAAGCCAGGTATAGTGACTCACTCTTGTAATCCCAGCTACTCAGAGACAGGAGGACAATAGCTGTAGGTCAATCCAGACAAAAAAATTAAAAAGCAAGCGACACCCATCTCAAGCCAGATGCAATGGTTCACACCAGTAATCCTAACTATACAAGAGTAATATTTTGCCAGGGCAAAAGGCATGAAACATCATTCAAATAATAGCTAAAGCAGCTGAGGACCAAGTGTCTCATGCCTATAATCATCATTACTCAGAAGGCTGAGATGTGAGGAGGAAGGTTTCGTGCAATAAGTAAATATAAAAAAAAAAAAAATGCTAGCCGGGCGCTGGTGGCTCATGCCTGTAATCCTAACTACTCAGGAGGCTGAGATCTGAGGATTGCAGTTCAAAGCCAGCCCAGGCAGGAGAGACCGTGAGACTCCGATTTCCAATAAACCAACAGAAAACCGGAATTGGTGCTGTAGCTCAAGTGGTAGAGCACTCGCCTTGAGCTGAAGAGCTGAGGGACAGCACTCAGGCCCAGAGTTCAAGCCCCACGACCGACCAAAAAAAAAATCCTAAACATAAAAAATTTGAAAACAAGCTAGGCGCCTGTGGCTCATGCCTGTAATCCCAGTTACTCAGGAGGCTGAGATCTGAAGATCCAGGTTCAAAACCAGCCCAGGCAGGAAAGTC